TTTCCCTGGGGATTAGGCATAAAGACTCTTAGTATAAGCACACTAAATCAGAGAAACACATATCACCAGACAGGGTTGGCTCAATCACCTTTATGATAGCTGCAAAATAAGGCTGCGATCATGTGGTCACACTGGATATCAGTTTATGAAGCTTTCCTAATTTAGTCACGACAATGATAAATGCGAAGCAGCAAGGACCTGGTAAGGACTTTGAGTGACTGCTGACACTACTCTTGAGGAGAAGCTAGGTGATAGCCGCTGACTAGGCCACGGTGATTGAAAATGGCTGCTGTGAGCTTGACTCATGAGCTCAAAGTTCAGAAGCCTCTGGGACACATTTACAGAAACAGAAAACAACATTAAATCTGCTTCCAATTCTGGAGGGAGGTATCCTCCCAAGGCAAAGCCAGCTTTATCAGTTTGGCTTCTTTGTTTGCTAACGGCTGAGTAACTACAGCTTGTGCAATTAGCTAAAGCCTTCTATGAAAGCATCTTAACACATCCCTTGGTCAAAAAGTTAATTCTAAGATATCTTTATAATATAGAGAATAATAACTAGACATGCAAATATTAGCTAGTAAATATTAACATTTAGCAGTTTTAAAAGTTTTTTTCTTAAAAAAAAAAAGGTTTTTTTCTTTGTAGAAATTTGTTATAGCCACAGTTAAAGTCATACCCATGCCTACACTTTCCTCAAAACCATGATTTTCTAGGTGTGTGTGTGTGTGTGTGTGTGTGTGTGTGTGTGTATGTGAACACTGCTAAGTCCTCTTAGGCAGTTTTCAGTGAACTTCTCTACCCTTCTCTGTGACTATGTTTTCTGTGAAGCTCTGGAATTTCCTTGACTGTGTAATCATGAACTCTAAATGTGGAGGAACAATACCAAAGTAAGCACATGCAATAATGTAAGACCAAGGCAAATGCATGTTGTGTAAAGACTAGTGTGCCTTTATCTCAAATAAGGTAATAACTGATGGAAAGTAAGGGCAAAGGATACCATTTTCAGGTTCTCGATATTCTGATGGTAAACTAAGCATTGTAATGTATTTGGAAATTCACTGTATTTCCCCAAACACATATAAGTAAAGTCTTGTTGAAACACGAGTAGAGCTCACTCAGTGTCTAGCGGCGTTCATCATATCATGATAGAGTGTAGAATTGTAACAGAGAACATGTGGTCAATAAAGACAGAAACTTTTGCTATTTACCTTCTACAGAAAAAACTGTCAATCTGTTTTAATGAATTCAAGTATTCTTTGTCTTTCTCCTGTTAGAGTCAGAGATTGTAATTTTGTTTCTACAATAGTTAACCTTACATTAAAAATCATTCTGAGTCAAATATCTTTACTTTTAAAGGAGAGAATAAATTTGCTACATTTATTTACTTATTTGCATGCAAGGGAATCGTTTGTGTTGTGTGTGTGTGCGCGCCGCTACGTACATGTGTGTGTATGTGCACGTGTGTGTGTATGTATATATCCTTGTGTGTGCGCGTGTGTGTGTATGTATATATCCTTGTGTGTGCGCGTGTGTGTGCGCAGACGTGTGCATGCACACCCATGCTCACTTATGCACTCACTCAATCACATGCCCTGCACCTGGTCTGGGCAGCACAGCAGAGCAGGGTGTGGGTGAACCCCTGAGTGTGGGAGATCTGGCCCTGCCCCTCATCTGTCATGTGGTTGTGTGGATGGGGGAGACATGCTTCCTCCCCACTCCTCACTGTCTGTGGCAGGGAGACAGCTGGCCCTGGAGTCCTAAGAGCAGGAGAGCTGTCTCTGCCCCTCACCAGCTGCAGTACTTAGGTGAGTGGCTCATGTACTCTCCTGGGCAAGGCAGTGGAGTTGGCCCTGATGGTCCACTGTGGGAGAGCCTACCCTGAGGACACGAAAGCAGGAGAACTAACCCGGTCCCTTCATTCATTGCTCATTGCTTCAAAGGATTAATTAGCCAGGGCAAGGCTGGAGAGCTCACCCAGTGGTGAGGACAGGGGAGAGCTGGCGGGCTGTCCAACCCCGCAGCTACCCAGGCCCAGAACCAGGGTTTTGAGTTGACCCACCCCAACATCTACTTCATCTGTGACCTGCGGGAGCATGTGAAGGGGCTGAATTTGCAGACCCAAAGCTGCAGGACCTCCATGACCCAGGTCAACAACAGGATGTCCAAGAAGAGTCCCAGTGAGGCCCAGCATTGATAGCGTAACAGAAGCTAGAGACCTTGAGCCAGGCCAATGACTCTCTGCAATGAACAGTAAAGTAAAGATATAAAGACAAAAGGTTTGCTATGTGACTCACTGTGTCACACTACAGTTTCTGTGATGAGATTTTTCGTTTTTCTTTTTTTAATTTATTTTTATTTTTTTGAGGGGGTTGCAAGGGCAGAGGGTAGATACAAAGGGACGGAAAAAAGAATGTAATCGAGACACAGGATGTGAATGACACAAAGAACAAATAAAAAAAAGTTAAAATAGAAATGGAATGGGAGCATAAAGTAGGAAAAGAGTGAGGGGATGGGAGGAGAAAGATACAAACCTGGGCTGACACTTGGTGTAGTCAGTACTTTATAAATGAAAATGATTTAAATCCCAACATCTGCTTAACGTAAACCCCATGCTGCTGCTCCGTGTCAGTTTCCCCTATCATTTGCAATATTCCCCCTTTCTTTAGTATTTTCTGTCTCTTTACTTCTTCAGGAGTCCAACTCTGAGGCTATAAAAACATTCAGGTTTCTTTTTGTTCAAGATAAAAATATATGTCTCTCTCTTGAGTTGTATCTCTTAAGCTCCTCTTTTCTTCTCTTGGCCAAACTAATCTTTTTTTTTTCTTTTTTTAAAATTTATTTATTTATTAAAGATTTCTGTCTCTTCCCTGCCACCGCCTCCCATATCCCTCTCCCTCCCCCAATCAACTCCCCCTTTCTCATCAGCCCGAAGAGCAGACCTTGGCCAAACTAATCTTTTCAAAGTATTCTGCCACAGTCTCCAAATTTGTAGTCAAATCATCAAATCACCTTTTCTTTTCTTTTCTTTTTAAAGACAGGGTCTCATGTAGCCCAGACTGGTACTGAACTCACGATATAGCTAAAGAGGACCTCAAACTCCTAACCCTCCTGCCTCCCCTGCCCAAGTGCCGGGTTTCCAGATGTGTGGCATCACACTTGGTCTCCAGTCAACTTTCTACCGTCTTCCGCAAGCTCAGCTGTCAGTGTAACGTTATAGTCAAAATCTTGCTCCTGGTAGTTATTGATGAATATTATAGGATGTGCCTCGTAGATATTTATGGTATTGGGGGAAGAATTAGAGAATGAAAAAAGGTGGACTGATTTTCTAATAGACCTCGGGGTCAAAGATGGCTTGAAGACTCTTTCCAAACCCAAACTCGTAGTCAGTAAAAGTGATGTGGACCAGCCTCATCTGTGCTATGCTGTCATCCTTTCGTTCTTATGACATTTTGAGTTACTGTGAGATATAGTGCCTAGTGTTTAAATGCTTTCCTTAACATTACTAAGACATTTATGAGATTCATTTTCTGTACAACACGTCGTCTTGGTTTGCATTACTTAGCCTCAAGCACACTCAACCCTGGGACAGGGTTTCTAACCATAGCTAACCTAGCTCTCCACTGATTGTTGTTCAATTGCAGATCCTTAGCTTTTGCATAAGAAGTTACACAGATAATATTTTTTTCCTTAAGTTAAATACTGCTACAAGATACAGCTTTAAAAATGAGTGTGTGAAGATTAAATTATCTTTTAAGTAACTAGCAAACAGCATATTTTACTGACTTGTCCTAGAGATTCCAAAGTGCAGAATTTGAGCATAACTTCCTGTTTTTCAAAGGCATGTGATGGTAGTCTGCAAACATGAGCAAATATGAGAGTGCTCTATTATTTATTTGTTGCACAACCACAAATCCACAGCCTAGTGGATGTTAATATTTTCTGGGAATGACATCAGACTTTGGAAAAGTTAACAGCTATAAGAGTTCACAGTGATCCACAGTGCAGAAGCCTAGCTTTTTGCAACAGAAAGGACTCGGGTGAAGAGCTTATGTTGGTAATAACTTAGCCCCGGAATGGCAGGGCTGACTTAAGTTCTGCTTCTAACATCTGGCAGGGTATGGGTAATCTAACCTCTTGCAGGGCCTCCAGTTCCTCAAAAGAGAGGCCTGAATTTCTGATGATTAACATCTTTTCCTATTTTAAGGTCTTTGTTTATTGAATCAGCAACACCTCTGATAGGAGGAATGTGTACTGGTGGTGGTTCTTGTCAGCCATAGAAATGTGGGCTATAGAATGGAAGAGAATAAAGGCATGACCTTTTGACAGAAAGAGGGCTTAATCTTTTAATCTGAATATTTGATTCTTATAGATCTGAACTGAATTTTTATGTAAATTATTGAAAGAGATTTTGAAGGCTCAAGATATGTTCATCTAAACACTACACAAGACCAACATATAAAGTTACGTAGAATTAGGGGCGCTTACACAACTCTCAATCGTTTGCTTTGAATTTGGGGCCATGAGACCCAAATCTCCTTGATCTCCATAATAAAAAATTCAAATAATTTGAATAATTTGTTTCTTAGATATAGCTGATGGAAGGATTTTCCCTTTGATGTTTATTTTAAAACATAGTAATCTCTGGGGCTGAGGAGATGGATGGCTCAGGGGTAAAGAGCACTTCCTGCCCCTCACGAGGACCGGGGTTTGTTCCTAGCACCCATCTGATTCACAAGCATCTGTAACTGCAGTCCCAGAGGATCTGATTCCTTCTTCTGGCCTCTGTGATCAGGCACAAATACAGACATAACACTGATATACATAAAGAAACTATACTAAGTCCCCCAAATCAAAATATCATATTCGTAAAAATAAAATTTCTCTGATGTATGCCGGTAAGATGGACTAGAAACATTAGGTTTAAATGAATTTGTGTTACATATGGGCCTGATGTGCCACAACAAATTCCTCTCCTGGGCTTTGTTTTGTGTTTGTTCCAGTGAAGCTCAGTGTTCTGGATATGTAGCCCAATAGGTGATACGAAGTAGAAATTGGGATCGTTATGGCTAATCCGAGTATGCCGGAAGAGTCTAAGTCTAACGTATGAAACCCACAAACTGAAATGAATGGTAGAACTGGATGGAGCTGTCTACTGAAGAATCGGCACCAAGGCTTAAGCAGAGCAACCAATCACAGTCACCACGGAGCCAACTGCTGCAACCATGTACAGATAGTATCGGTCATAACAAAGGTATGTTTTCTTCCCCCTTCTGGGAATTTGGTCCACAAGGCAAGGACAAATTCCTGGACTGAAAGATTAGTGGAAAATTTTGGTTGGGGGACAAATAGTTCCGTTGATCCAATTTTCAATAACTTTCTGAAGAGATGTGGCAAAACACAGCTGAAATCCATGGAGACAGAAGGCAATAGGTTCTAAGGGTGATGGTTGTGGCTTCATGATGCCTCATCTGTGTGATTGGCTCACATTCCAAATTTTCCTTTCAGCTATAGGGGATTGTTCTTTCTTCCTGGATCAGTATTATGTGATGTGTAGGCTTGATAATTTGTTTCTTTAAAAGGCATAAAGAGTTCATTATTCATTGTGGCTGACTGGTGATTCCCCCCACCCCACGTCTCTCTCTCTCTTCCATTTTCCCTTTCTCTCACTCTCTCAAACTGGAGTATAAACCCAGAACCTTGTGCATCCTAAGAAGGAACTCTACCACTGAGCAGGGTCCCTAGGTTGACTGAAGCATCGAAAAGATAAAAGTGATATTTAGAGGAACCTTTGGAAAACTAAGAAGAGCTAGGATGATCGATTTAGAGAAAGATGTGGCATAGAGCTTCAAAACCAAGCCATCCTGGTGGAGTCACTGTTTGGTAGAGCATAGTCACGGACATGATTCAACTGTGTTCTCAAAGGCTGCTTCCCTCTGTGTCTCTTAACTCTTTTCAAGATCAGCCATCTTCATCTTCTTCAAGCCAGGTTCCTGAGAAGCTACTGTTTATCCAACAACCATCTTCTCTTCTCTGTGCTGTCTGCCTCAGGCTGTTGTCAATGCTGTGAGGGCACCAGACCACGGAGATGGTCCTGGGCTTCTGTTTGGTGTTTTCACTACATACACCCAGGACTGAGAACGGTGCTTCTCTAGGTCCACACTGTTTATGCAAGTAATATGGTTTATATGTAAAACACATTTTATTTCAAGGAATCCGGAAGTTTGGCACATACTAATCACACACATACACTAATTTGTGGCCAGCCTCAAACAAAAATGCTGACGGCCTCCACTGGGAGACATCACTCATGTTAGTGCATTTTTGCATTGCCAGAGAAAGCAGCATACTTGAGTATCTCCTCACAAAAGGATGTAGACTCTTGTGTGTGCATTTATCTAGATTCTGCCTATTATCTGACTGTGTGCCTTTGTGATTAGATCACTGTAGAAGCTATTAGCCATGAGCCCAACTGTGTGCTAAGTCCTGAGCTTCCTAGAAAGTCTCTGCATATAGGGACGGTCTTGATCATCTTGACACAGACCACTGTAACTAATGAATCCATTTAATTGTTTATGAGGGATGGAGAGAGAGAGTCATAATTTATGTTCTTTCCAGCTTATGGAATGGTCTATAGCAATGGTTCTCAATTTGGACTGCAAAGCAGAATATTCTATAATGCCTACAAAAAATTAGATCCCAACCCAGAATAAGTAGGTTGTTAGCATTAGCATCTCTAGGCCCTTTGTTTTAAAGTTCTGCAGTGATTCTTTTGTGCAGGGTGGTGACCAAGGGTCCTAACTGATTTTCCTCCAAAGCACTTGAGCCAGCAACTTCCTCTAGGAGGAATCTGTAGGTTTGGGAGGGATTCATCTAGTGCACTGCACATTTCATACTTTTTCATACATTTCATATTTGCATACTGAAACAAATTATTGGTTTGCTTATTTGAGTTTGTAAGCAATGTTCTTGGAAGAATGTCGTTTTAGGGTCTTTATTAGAGTCAAATTCACAAATTCGTGAAATGTACGTATCCAACTGCGGCAATATTTTGCCATTAACCTACTTTTCTGAACTTATGAATGCATTGTGTATTGTGAAATAAACAGTCACATCTGTTTCTTGGTGTTTTTCAACAGTCCACATTCTATTGAGCCCTGATCAGGAGGCTCTGCTTAAAAGAAAAAAAGTTGGTTGGTAGGAAAGTTGTAATGAGCCAGCTTGTAGTGTTATATGTGCTTTTCTTTTACCCATTTCCCAGCCCGGTGACCTTTTGGCGATGAGGTGAGGGTGTTCTCTATACGTCTCCCTATCTGATTCTTCACAATCTGCAGTGATAAGATCTCAGGCAACAGTTGCACAAGCGCTCCAAGCTTCCTGCAGAATTCTGTCTGGCAGATCTATTTTACTGCCATGCTCAGCTCCTAGTGGATGCCTGGTGATGATTTTAGTTGCCCTGACATGATGACAGAACCACTAGATGCAAGAGCTCAACAGGGAGAGACCCTCACCCTCCTACCGTATGTCTGTCTCTGCAGCCCAAGCTGCATCATCAAGTGCCTTTAGATTCTGACAGCTGCTTTTCCGATGGAGGAAGCTTTATCCTGCACACGTCTGGGAGGTATCCTGATGCCCTGTCAGAATGCAGATTTTTCTCATGATGACTTTAGGGCTTGTAATAGTCACCACCTACCCCAGTCCCACGGCTGCACATCCTCCATTGCCCTTGCACACTTGGAGGGAAGTGGGATGTAATTGTGTGATTTTAAGGAATCATCCTTCAGCATCTCATTGATTTTCTTTGCCCTCCCCCATGTATTAGGTGCTGACTCAAGGTTTTCTCCGCCCCCCCCCCATTAAAGCTTGCTTTGGGAAAGGACAGAAACTCTTTTCATCCTAAGAACTTCAGACTTAAATCCTCTGATGAGTTTCTGAATTCTAGAAAAGTTCAATGAGTAAAACATCAGAACACTGAAGTTTCTTTTTGATAGTAGTGATGGCTCAGAAGATTGCCAGACTTCCTGGTCACCTTGGTACCTTACTGGAATCTCTTGTCAGTTTGTCCCATGTGGTTAGCCTTTCTGGGCCTGAGATGTTTGGGCTTGAGCTATAGATAGATTGTCTTTAGGCATAAGCATTCCAGAGGAGAAAACCTCAACTCTGACACCATTATTCTGGTCTCTGAAAGCACTTCATTTCATAATTTCATGTTTTCCTTTTCACATGTCAACCAGTGCATCTGGCAGCTGTGGTGCAGAGTCAGCAAGAGAGGCCCTGTTTTCACTTCATGGCCTGGCTTCGTCTTAAGTTTGAACAAGAGTTCTCAGGCCTGACTCTGCCTTTGGACGTGTTCCCAAACATAAGAATCCTAAAGTTGCATAAAATTATACACCAGGAAGCTAAAGAAAAAAGAAGATTGTTTAAATGAAACACCATGAGATCCGAAGACATTCTTACGTGTAGGTTACTTTTAATTTTAGAAAGCAAATTTAGTAGATAACCAGTAGCAAAACCATGCCAAACATTCTGTGAAAGTAATATGCAGAATGACCTCACTGTGGTAAAATACAGGATGTATAAATATACATGGGCTTGCCAAGGTCAGATGTTTTGCTAAGTGCTTTATATATAGTGTTTTATGTGTATAACTGAGAAAAATCCAGAGAGGTACTTCTTACTTGCCCCCTTCATATCCACCATCTTTATGGTACCAATTACGAAAACAAGTTATATAATCAAGCCACATGCCCATCAGTAAATCAACAGATGAAGATAATGTGACACACATGTACATTCGAGGTTGGTTGGAAGAGAATCAACAACAAAATTATCACAGTTCTACAATGAAGCCTATTGTGCGGCGTGCTAATTAAAAAGTAAACCAGCAAAAAGGATGGAAGTGTCGACCATTATGTGTTAAGCACAATAGACAGAGTCATAAAGGCGAATATCACATGGCTCCTCTGTTATCTAGAAGCTACATTTGAAATGCATGTGCTTAAGAAGCGAGGCAGAAGGGCATGATTTAGGTGGAGGTGGGTGGACCAGAGGGAAGGAAAAGAGGAATGAGACAGGGTCATAGGAAGGGAATTGAGCAAATGTATATAAGAAAACGTCATAATGAAACCCACCACATTGTATAATGAAGACAGGCTAAAAATAAAAGAAGAAAAAGTAATTTTTGTATTTGCTTTTGTCAGGAAAATTGAGCCATGATTTCTTTCTTAAAAAAAAAATGGTCATGCTGTTAAACTGCCTTTTAAATATTTATATTTATCCCCAAGTACTGGACTGTTCTCAGCCTTGGTGAGTGGACAGCAGTTGGTGTGGAGACTCATAACTAGTCCAAGAGTAAATGAAGTTCCTAAGCACATGTATATACGAGCAACACTAAGTGGATACAGTAGGCTGTGCATGTGTGTGTATGCACAAATGTATACATAATAATTATTATAGGAGAAGAGGTAATGAATTTGAAAGAGACTTGGGAATGGTAGGAAGTGGAGAGAGAATAAGGAAGGGTGGAAATTATGTAAATACAGTATCACATATGAAGTTATCAAAAATCAAATGTTTAAATAATATAGGAATAAATGACTGCAAATGCTCAGCCCTAAATAGGACATTTTTGTTGTTTATTTTTGAGACATGATTTCATTGTGTAGACCTGGCTGACCTAGGACTTGAAATACAGACCAGTATATCCTTGACCTCTGAGTTCTGCCTGCTTCTGCCTCCTGAGTGCTGGGGTCAAAGGTGTGCACTACCATACCTGGTTAAACAAGACGTCTTTGCCAAACATCCCTACCACAAGCAAGGCTCAGGAAACATCTTGGAGGAGGTCATAAGAATGCCACAGCTGGAGGATGGGGAGGAGTGCTGTACAATGGTCTCATCTGGGCATGATTAATGCACTTGTGACCATGGCAGCTGTGGTTGCCTGAGTAAAGCCTGCACAAGATCAAGCCAAAGAAAATTCCAGCATGCTTAGGGGGTACTTATGTGGTTTTATCTTATTTACTTTACTTGTGCTGAAATAAGAAACAACCAAGGCAATTTATATAAGAAAAAGTTTGTTTGGGCCTCACAATTTCAGAGGGTTAGAGCCCATGACCTTCGTGGTGGGAAGCATGGCAGCAGACAAACAGGACAGGCATGTTCCTAGAATAGTAACAACAACTTGAGACAAAACCACCTGAAACAGAGAGAGCTAATTGGCATTGGTGTAGGCTTTTGGAACCTCAAAGCCTGCCTTTAATGACACACGTCCTCTAACAAGGCCATACCTCCTAATCCTTCCCAAACAGTTCCACTAACTGGGGACCAAGGAGTCAAACATCTGAGCCTATGGGGGCCATTCTCATTCAGACCGCCACAGGCTCCACCCGTAACCAAGGAGCTATCGGTAGTCGCTGGTTGTTGGGGAAGGAGAATCAGTCTTCTTTAAAGCTTTGATTTGACCACTGGTTTGTTATTCTTGCTCGAGCTACTGCCCTCAACCATGCACGTATGGACAGTACTCAAAGGACTCCGCATGTGTGAAAGAATAATTAAAAGAAGGAGGAAACCCTAAACAAAACATATTTTTAGTTCATTGCTGGAGGATTTCATGTGTGTGTGTATGTAATGTATTTTGGTCATACTCTTTTGCCCTCTGCTAACTCTTTTAAGAGCCCTCCTCCACACCCCCTCCCAACTTCATACACTTAAAAAAATAATAAAGCACTGAACCTAATCCATGATAGAGAGTTCTTAATATGCCCAGTTTGCAACAAACAAAACTGAGGTCAAGTTTAGTTAGTTTGACCAGTGATACAGATGATATGTTAGAGAATCCCATAGTCATAGACTACTCTGATTCAGTGTGTCTACCTACAGAGGTGAACTTTGGTTAATAAACAATAGCTGGTGAAGGATAATGGGTCATTTATACAGTCTTTGTTTTGATTATGTATATATTCTAGATTTATCTCCAATAAATTTCTTTGATTAATAAGAGATTATTATTCTTATTAATTTTGCATTGTTGGTGATGGAAACCAAATTCTTTTACATTCTAGGAAAAAGAATTTTTCTCTTCTCCCTTCTAGATGTTTGCAAACTTTTCCATGAAATTCTCAGAACACGAGAAACTCTTCTTATCTTGGGTTGGTTTTATCTTAGTAATGCCTAAGAGATAATTAATCCTATGGATAAATAAATAAGGCAAGTAATGGCACTCTTACCTTTGTTTCTTACATGGCTGCCTAACACATGGCACCAGAACTTTGCCACTGAAAGCCTAAAACACCACACACTTCATCTCACAGTATCTGGAGCTACAACTCTGTCTTAAAGTTTCCTATTTAAAAGTGGCAATAAAAATGATAGTAGTGTTGAAGTCTCTGCTGATGTTCTAAATTCATCTGAATGCAGGTTTTTCTTTTTTTTTTTCTTTTTTATTAAAACAGAGTCTCTCTGTGTGGCCTGGAGCACAGAGTCCTCTTGCTTTATCCTCCCAAGGGCTGGGATTCTCAGTGTGCACCACGTGTCTGGTTTGCCCTGAGGTTTCTATGCCTGTAAAGTGAAGCTCAGATCTGCTTCTTCACGGTGCTGAGAATTTGGTCCAAGTCAAGTGTCATCTGATAGCTGGAACTAGGGTCAGGCGTATGTCTCCCTGCCTTGGGGACCTAGATCTCAGAAAGCATGACTGCAGTCACCAGTACCTGGAAGAGAGTGACGGCTTCATACATGTTCACTTACTTATAAACACATTTAAAACACACACACACACACACACACACACACACACAATGGAAGGAAGAACACAATCAGCTTTGCTGCTAAGCAACTCATCTTAATGTCTCATTTGGATCCAGGTTTCCCCAGAGTGTCAGTACCAGGCTAAATGATTGTCTCTGAGTGAATTCAAAATGGCCACCATGTGTCTTCCAAGGGTTCAAGTTTGCTAGAGAAGCTGATTGCAAACCATGTCAGTTTCGTCTGCTGCAATTTACCAAGTCATCCCAACCTCCCTGGATAGGATTGGAGGCAGCATTCAGAGGCCGATATTAGGTAGTTAGCCATCCTACCACACAGTACCATTGTTCTCATTTTATGCATGAGGAACCCTGGACATTGTGGGCTAAGTAGTTTGTTCAAAGTCATATGGTTAATAAATAAAAAAAAAACTTGGATACAAAACCAGGCAATGTGATTTCCAAAGCCTGAACATCTGTGTGTAGAATTTGAGCTGGAGAGAGGAGGGAAGGGATAGAGAAAGGAGTTACTCACCTAGGTGGTGGGAGCAGTTATGTGCAAGTGAGGGCCAGGACTGGAAAAAGCTTCCCTGAGCCAGGAGAAGCAGCACCAGGCAGGGTGGGAAAGGGTTTGGGTTCCTGCACTACCGTAATTAAGCCTTGTCAGACCTGTGAGTGAAAAGACAGATAGGCAAGGAACTTTTGCAAGAAGGGCGACCTTGTCTAGGAGGCAAAGATTGGGCTAAGGAATGTGCACAGGGTTGGTATGATGGGAAATGCTGAATATGAGCACAGCCAGACCCCAGCGCATGGGGCAAATCCAAAGTTGGAGCTGGGACATCCTCAGAAGTGTCAGCCAAGAACACAATGTTCTGGAAGTCAAATGTACTCAGCAGCCTTGAGGACAGAGGAGAAGGAGGCCAGGCTGGATGGTTTAGGTTTAGACAACTGAGAAACTGCAGAAATATTCACTGATGATTTTATTGGCTTCCCCCTCCCTTCCTCCCTTCCTCTCTCCTTTCCTCCCTCTGTCCCCTACCTCCTTCCTTCTTTTTTTGTTGTATTTCCGTGTACTGTGTATGAAACCTGGTTCCTCTGTGTGTTTGTTGAGCAAGCACTCAACCACCGAGTTACATTCCTGTCCTGATTTGCATTTCTACTTACAGGATGCTTCATGCTATCAGCATTGTATTAACACTAAGTTGTAGCAGGAAGTCATCTGAAAACTCAAGAGAAATAAGAACGATTACACTTCTATCTGACATCTTAATGGCATAAAAAAAGAAAATTCTTCCTGCACTCAATCATATTGATAATAATTCAAAATGTGAGGTACACAATTATTGTAAGTCAGTATATCAGAAAACAAAGAAAAATGCATGGAGAAAACATTTCATTAGTATATTAACAATTCATGTAATAATAGGAAAAAGTTGATTGATTAATAGGAAAATGGCCAAAGCACAGAACTGGCATCTCAGAAAGGAAGCAATAAAGACAGAAATGTCCCCCCTAGTGTGTATGTTGATATCCCAACCCTTTATCTTTCAGAATGTCACTGTATTTAGAGAAGAAGCAATTATACAAGATGAAGTGCCTAGGGTGGGTTTAATCCAGGATACTCTCCTAGGAAAAGTGCGTAGGACATACACCCGTGGAGGAAGGACAAAGTAAGACAGCTGTCAGCCAAGGAGTCCGACTCAGATGAAACTACACCTACCAACACTTGAATCCTACACTCCTGGTCTACAGAATTATGAGAAAATAAAATTCTATTGTTCAAAATATCAACTCTGTGGCGTGTTATTAGCAAACTAAATGACTCAAAATGTAAATACTAAAATACATACAAATTAAACAATAATTTGAGCAGAAAATATCACACATTTGTGTCATATACTTGTGGGTAAGACTATTTACTTGGTATGTACTTAGAAGAGCAGTTGGCAATAACAAAGTGTTTTTATTTTATTTATTAGTTGACACCTAATCAAAGTGTCAGGGGAGCAGAGGAAGGTAGAGCTCTGTGAGTGCGAGGCTAGCCTGGTCTACATAGTGAGTTCCAGGCTAGCCAGAGCTATACAGTGAGATCCCGTCTCAAAACAAACTGATATCTACATTCCCTTTGACTGAACAATTCTACCCCAAGCAGGATTTATATGTGTAATACCTTAACATTTATCAGTGAAAAACATCCAGTGTATCCATTAAAAAGACTAACGAAGTGGGAATAATTCCTAGGTTGGAGAAAGTGGGCCCTTAAAGAAAAGGAATGAGATAATTAACCATGTTAAAAGGAAACTGTCCGTGGCTTGGAAGAAGTCTATGATGTA